GCCATTTCCCAGCAGCTTTTCTTTTCCTGTCTCCCCGCGGCTGGTTGTGACAAAATGTAGGGGGGACTGTGGTTGGATGGTGACTCAGGAATGTAAGTTCATTGCATTTGGGCTCCTAGAGTGACCATTGCAGGCCTTTTCTATCAATTCTTTTCCCCTCAGAAGCCAATATATTTTATTTTACTCATTTAAAAAAATAACTATACCCAACATATAGAAAAAGGCATAAAATAACATTCACCTATGTATCCAGGTCACGTGAACATTTTGCCACATTTACCAGTTCTTTCTTTTAAGATACTTTATAGATGTAGTTGAATCCCATCCTTGAAGCAAGCACTAAGTGGAAGTTTATGTCATCCTTTCTATTCATGTTTAATTTTATATATATATTAAACTGTACAGGGCAATAAAGAGAATTGGATACTTTCAAGTTTTTATTCATAACATTTTTATATGTATAGCAATATGTAATACGCATCAGTTTGTAGAGCACCCTTACAACATGTAGGTTGGAGCCCACTAGACTTGCTTGAATCCCTGCAGTACAAAGGCCAGTCAGTCTGCCCCCGACAGTGAACACCTGCCAGGTTGTCACAACGGCACCATTGGTCCGAGGAGATGGAGCACAAACCGTAGCCGCATCTACAGAGGAAGCAGTGAGGCAAATATGCGTAGCTCTTTAGGGCAGTCCCAGGATATCGAAACCTCACGGCTCTGACCTGTCTCAGGCCCTCCTGGAGATAGTTAAAGCAAAACGATAAGTGTTCAGAGTCACGGGGAAGTGGAGATGACTGCCAGTGATGAGCCTAAGATTCCCTAGTAGAAAAATGAATCATCACCTCCACCTACTGGAAACCAACATTTCACCATTGACCGTGAAAGGATTTCCCTAAACGTAAATGTTTTTCTGCCACGAGAAGCACACAGGGTCGTCTTCATCAGTTCATTTTTACAAAAGATGCCTTCCAAGGTATCTGTTGATGGACATAGTATAGAGTGGTTTTTCCTACCACAGCAGAAAGTCTCTGACATCCCCATTTCCATTAGGACGAGGCTCCTCCTCGCTTCCATTACGCAGCTTGGAGGCTCTGAATGCGCACGCTTCCTGGTATGGATTGGACATGTTCAAAAGATTGACGTGTTTCAGGAGTAGTGGCCTCCAGATCTCCCAGATACCACAGCATGACACGTGACATGTTACAAAGGGCCTGAATGCAAGGAGCTACAGGAATGGCCTGTGCCTTGAGGCGAGGGAGGTGTTATCTCAAGCATTTGCAAGATTATAGGAATACCTGTGGCAGTTCCTTTGCAGATTGTTTTTTTAAGTACATTTTATTATGCTATTACAGTTGTCCCATGTTTTTCTCCCCTGTATCCCCCTCTGCCCAGTACCCTCATTCCCTCCAACATTCCTCCCTACTTAGTTCATGTCCGTGGGTAGTACATAAGAGTTCTTTGGCTTCTCCCTATACTATTTGTACCCGCCGCCCGCCCCCCCCCATCTATCTTGTACGTACCAGTTATACTCCTTATTCCCTGTACCTTTTCCCCCATTCTCCCCCTTCCCTCTCCCCACTGATAACCCTTCATGTGATCTCTATTTCTGTGATTCTGTTTTTGTTCTAGTTGTTTGTTAAGGGTTTTTTTTAGGTTGTTGTTGATAGCTGAATTTGTTGTCATTTTACTGTTCACAATTTTGATCTTTTTCTTGGATAAGTCCCTTTAACATTTCATATAATAAGGGTTTGGTGATGATGAACTCCTTTAATTTGACCTTATCTGGGAAACCCTTTATCTTCCCTTCCATTCTAAATGCGAGTTTTGCTCTTGGATGCAGATCCTTGCTTTTCATGACTTGGAATACTTCTTTCCAGCCCCTTCTTGCCTGCAAGTTTTCTTTAGAGAAATCAGTTGATAGTCTTATGAAAACTCCTTTGTAGGTAACTGCCTTGCTGCTTTTAAGATTCTCTATCCTTCATCTTTGGTGTTTTAATTCTGATGTGTTTTGGTGTGGCTCTCTTTGGGTCTAACTTGTTTGGGACTCTGAACTTCCTGGACTTGTATGTCTATTTCCTTTGCCAGATTGCGGAAGTTTTCTCATTATTTTTTCAAATAAGTTTTCAATTTCTTGCTCTTCCTCTTCTCCTCCTGGCACCCCTATGATTGGGATGTTGTACATTTAAAGTTGTCCCAGAGGTTCCTAAGCTTCCCCTTGTTTTTTTGAATTCCTGTTTCTTCATTTTGTTCCAGTTCAATGTTTATTCCTTTTATTCCAAGTTGATTTGAGTCCCAGTTACCTTCCCTTCATTGTCGGTTCCCTGAATATTTTTCTTTATTTCATTTTGTATAGCCTTCACTTCTTCCTTTATTTGCAGTCATACTCAGTCATTTCTCTGAGTATCCTGATTACCAGTGTTTTGAACACTGCATCTGATAGATTGGCTATCTCCTCATCGCTTAGTAATTTTTCCAGAATTTTGATCTGTCCTTTTATTTGGGCCAAATCTCTTTGTCTTGGCTCACCTGTTATGTTGTAAGGGGTAGAGTCTTAGGTATTCACTAGGGCAGGGCAACCCACCTCACCACGTTGTGGCGCTGTATGTGGGGGAGGGGTCAGAGAAAGAACAGTGCTGCTCGCATGGCTCTTGCCCTGCTTTCAGTCACTTCCCTACTTCCCACAAGGAAATGGGGCCCTTCCAGGTGCTTCCTTGGGGCTGATTCCTGGGTGGGTGGGCTTATGTACATTCTAGGACCCTATAGGACCCTCCAACAGACTCTCCTGAGAGACTGACAGTTTCTCCCACTATGGCAACCCTCCACAGGTTTTTATAGCCAGAGGTTTTGATGCCTTATTTCCCTGGCGCTGGAACCCTTGGTTGTGCCACCTGTCTGGCTCCCCAGTTGCTCCTCCCAGTTTTTATCTGCACGTGAATGGTGGACTTCCCAGTCCACCAGCCACCGCCTTGCTTTGTTTCTCTCCCCCTGGCTTCCCATCTCTGCCCTTCCTACCAGTCTGGATGAATATTTCTTCTTTAACTCCTTGGCTGTCAGACTTCCATACAGTTAGATTTTCTAGCAGTTCTGGTTGTTTCTTGTTTTTAAATTGGTTGTTATCCTTTTGGTTGTGCGAGGAGGTAAAGCATATCTATCTAGATATGGCCAGAAGCCTGCAGATTATTTATTGGCTGCAGCCTATAGTGATACATTTTGTTGCCAATTAATATATTTTGAAAACATTCCATTATAAAGCTTATTGAGGATATTCTACATGCAACAAAATGCAGATTTTAAATTTGATGACAATTGTAACCACCACCTCAATAAACATACGAAACACTTTCTTGACCTTAGAATGTTTTCTCATGCCCTTTTCCAGTCAGTTCTTCCCCCAGGAACAAACTGATCCAATTTTTGTCACATAGTCCATAGGTCTACACTCGCAGAAAGGAGGCCTGTCCCTAACTCCTCCCTTGCCTTCCCATTGATAATTGGCACTGCTCTTCATGCACTCGCTTATTCATATTATTTTCAATTAAACTGTGGAGTTCTTACTCTATACCAGGCACTGTGCTAGGCATTTGGGATCAATATTTTAATTTTTAAGATTACATTTTACAAAATTGTGCTGAGAAAGAGACAAAGAAGGCTAGCCTGTCAAAATGTAACACTTTACAAAGCTCTTTCACATATATTTATTTTTTATTGCGTTAAACTTGGTGTATAACATTATATAAGCTCCAGACATACATTATGATTCAACATCTGCATACACGACAGTGATCACCACTAACAGTCTTGTTACCATCCTTCACCCTACAGTTGCCTCCATGACCCTCTGGTAACCACCAGTCTGTTCTTTGCATGTTTGTTTTGTTTTTCATTTGTTCATTTTTTTTAGATTCCACATATGAGTCAAATGATACAGTATTTGTCTTTCCCTATCTGACTTATTTCACTTAGGTCTAGCCATGTTGTCACAAATGGCAGGATTTCATTCTTTTTTATGGCTGGGTAGGATTCCATTGTGTATATGTACCACATCTTTATCCAATCATCCATTGATGGACACATAGGTTGTTTCCATATCTTGTCTATTGTAAATAATTCTGTAATGAACAGAGGGGTGCATCATTTCAAATTAGTGTTTTCATATTCTTTGGACAAACACCCAGAAGTGGAATTGCTGGATCATATGATGGTTATTAATTTTTTTTAGGATAACATACATTTTTGTATTTAATCCTCATGGCAGTCTTTAATCATTTTTACAGATATTGAAGGCTAGGTAACTTCAGATACTGTTTTTAACAAAAAAGATTTTGACTATAAAGTGATATAATTTTTATTGCTTATAAATTTCCTCTGCTTTTGATTCCTCTTATATGTAGCTCATAATTTATATATCAGTCTTCTTTGAGTACTGCCTAAAAAGACATTGTATAAAGGGTTACTTCTCTATATTTTCCAAAAGAATACCACTAAGAAGGCAGTAATGGAACTCCAAATGTGTATTTCCTACTCCAAATACCAGGCAATTATCTTAGTTTGCAGGTGGCCCCTGTGCAGGGTTACCTGTTAAGGATAAACTCTGGACAGGCAAAGTCTGAGGAATTTATATGGGACAGAAACTGAAGACATAAAGGACATCTGCAATGAGTAACTCAGCAGTGACTTAAATTTCTATTCTTAGAATTACTTTTTACTTCAGTTTCATAGATGTCCTTTGTAAGATTCTGGTCACTTGGTCTTATCCTTTCAGCCACACAGGAATATATTAGGAGATTATGGCATTCAAAGTTAATTATATGAAGCTTTTTTCTGTATGTAGTCTAGAATGTGGAATGGGATCCTCAAGAAAGGCAGAAAACATTTTTTCTTCACTAGAAATCGTTTGAGACAGGAAACACTACTCATACTAAAAAGATAAGTTGAAATTGGCATTTCTCCTATGTATGAATAAAAAGTCATTTACTTTCTTTTGTTTCATTTTATTTTAGTGACTGTATATATGCCTTGTTTCCTGGGTCCACGGGAAGCATGAGTCTGTTGGGACTTGGGACAAGGAGAAAACAAGACATCTTCACAAGGAAAACCAGACAGTAACGAAAAATATCGCGAAGCCTGAAGAGACAGAAGACAAACATGGCAGACAGAGGACTTGGGGATCCTGCAGAGGGTAAGATGAGTTTGTGCAGCTCTGAGGTTGGTGCTGTAGGAAACTAGGGCTGTGCTGAGAGAAAATCTCTGACAACTGACTGAAGCCTGAAGCTTGGAAGTAAAACAGAAATTAACTTAATTCATTAATTTGTTATGGTTATTCTTTCACATTTATTGAATTTACCATAATACCAGACCTTAATTGTAAGTAAAATTAATGTTTCAGAAACTCCCATTAGTAGGGACCTATACAGTATTGGAAAAATGCAATGACTCAGAAAAAGATTGTAGACAAATCTTTATTTATCTAAAAAATCAAGATGGTTTTAAAAATTAAGAAAACAGTGATGTGTTATATATTTAGAGGGGATTTTTCAGTTATAGGGAAAGATGAAATTTAAATTCATCTGACTTATGTGTATACAGAGGATATATACAAAATAGGCAAAATATAAAGTAGATTTTCAGAAGAGAAGAATGTCATATTTATTTAAATCTTTTGCTAAGGATGTTTTTTAAAAACATAAAAGAACAGTATCATGAACCCCCATGTATTCAACATCTAACTTCAATTATTACCTACATAATATGGAACTTGTGGCCTGCCTTGGAATATTTAAGTGTGAATCCTAGACATTACATTATTTTATTGGGGAACAGTTTTCTTCTCTTGAAAGTATATTTTTAAAAATATAACCAAAGCCCTGGCTGGCGTAGCTCAGTGGATTGAGCGCGGGCTGCGAACCAAAGTGTCCCAGGTTCGATTCCCAGCCAGGGCACATGCCTGGGTTGCAGGCCATAACCCCTAGCAACCACACATTGATGTTTCTCTCTCTTTCTCTCTCTCTCTATCTCCCTCCCTTCCCTCTCTAAAATAAATAAAATCTTTAAAAAAATATTTAAAAAAATATATAACCAAAATAGAATTATCACACATAAAAAAATTAATAGTTATTCCTTAACTCGTCACATATCCAGTGAGTTACTCACCTCTACCCACTTGTCTCAATCACAGTTGGGTTGTATTTTTTCCTCTTTTTGCAGTAGGGTCACACACTGCATTTAATTGATGTATCTTTTAGATTGCTTAATTTTTTAAAGTTTTATTATAGAAAATTTCAAACATAAAAGTAGAGAGAGGGATGAAATGAATCCCATGGAGCCATCAAACGGCTTCATCTGCTGTCAACATATGGCTGATACTGTTTCATCTAGCCTCCCTCACTTCTCCTTTCCCCCATACCATTTAACTGGCGCAAATTCTATCTAGACCTGTCATTTTAGCCATAAATACTTGCATCCTTATCTCTAAAAGATAAGGATGCTTTTTAAAAAATACCATCACAATACCTTTGTTGTTGTGAAAGGTGAACAAAAATTTCTTAATACCATCAAATTTCTGGCATTCGGATTTTCCTGATTGTCTCATAAATATTCCTTTAACAATTGATTTCTTTGACACTGGGTCTGAACAGTGTGTCCACACTGCATTTGGTTGATGTGTCTCTGATGTCTCTCTTAATCAGCAGGCCACCCATCCTTTTTTTCCTTTTCTTGACATTTATTTTTATTTCTTGCTGTTACTAAACAGAGTCTTTTGTTCCTTGGAATGTCCCACATTCTGGGTTTTACTGATTGCATTCCTAAGGCATAATTTAATGCATTCCTCTATCCCTGTACTTCTTGGAGCCTGGTAGTTAGCTCTAGAAGCATGATCAGAGTCAGGTTCAGCTGTTGTACAGGAAGACTTCCTAGGTGGTATACTTCCTGTTGCACTGAATCAGGAGGCTAATGGTGGCTGGTTTTCCCTCTTTGTGTGATAAGATTGATTAGGTGGTTCAGCAGTTGTCACTCTGGTCATCCATTACAAAACTTCTCATTAGCTTTTTGTGGAATGGTTTTAGTTGCTGTTGATGATAATTGCCTAGATCCATTATTTCATTAGGGAAGAGGATATTTTAATGCAACCAAACATTGGTTCTGTTATTCAGAATAGTTTTACATTAGTATTATTTCTTAAATTCATTAACATAATAAATTTGTTTGTTTTGTCTTAATCTCCTTTAGTGGATGTCAAGAGAAACAATGTTTAGGAAGAATGCCTTGTAAACCATAAAAGTCTATATAAATATTACTTATTATTTGGGGACCTTGTTAAAATACAAAAAAGGAATCTTTAAAAAATGATACATTTTTATCTCCATAGACTCTCAAACAGATTTGGAAAATGACCCATCCATAAATTCTCAGGCACAGGAAACAACAGTCATAGCAAGTACTGCCGAAGAAGCTCAGGCCCTGAGCCCTGCCTCCGGCCTCAACAAAGACCCCCAAGAGGTTGAAACAATAGGTTCAGGAAGTACAGGTACAGCTGATCCATCAGAAAGTCCCGATGAAATAAATTGTGGGCAATACCCAAAGGATGAAACAGAACATGAGACCAACCAGAGTTTTCAGGATGGTGAACAAGAGCATCAACTCTCTTCAGAAAGTCTGGGTGAAGAACCCTTGCATCCAGAACCCAACTGTTCTCCAGGTGACGAGGCAGAAAGAGCAGGTGCACCAATAGGGAGCAGCTCCTTGGACCTCCCTGAGGAAGTGAGCAGCAGACCTGGAGCTTCCCAGAGGCCACCTGCTGTAGACTCCCTGGGAGCCCAGAGTCTTGGTCCTTCCAGTGCAGGGCTGGAGAGCCAGGGGACACTGAGGAGGCGACTGGTGGAGCCAGGTGAGAGTCCCCACTGACCTTCTGTCCCGTGTTGTATTGATTGCTCTGTTACCGACAACACAGCGTAGGTCAGGGTCCTTTCCAGAGAACATCTCTTTCCTTGGGCCTCGTCCAAGGTCACATAAAAAGATATGGCTGAGTTGGAATTAGAATGAGGTTTCTTCTCTCCTAGACTAGCTCATTCCACTCCATTAAATAAACTGCATTTTTAAACAATGGTTTCATTTATTTACTAATTGTATTAGTGTAGTATGATGGAAAAAAAAGGGCATGACTTTAAAAAAATTCACCTCTGACTTTTTCTTTATCTCTCATGAGCATGTTTTCACTTACAATTTTTAAAATCTTTTGTTTTGGGAAACAATGCTACAAAAATCAAGAGATGAGAAATTTAAAAACCAACATCTATGGTGCAAGTACCATTAATGCAGTCATTTCAGTTTTATAGGACTTTGAGCAAATCAGTTAATTTCTCTCTATCTGATTCCTAGTCCCCTCCCCAGCTTGTATATTAAGAACAAGCATCATATCTTCCCTTATGAAGATAATAGTTGCAGTGTGCTAAGTCCTTACTGGAAGTCAAGGGCCATGGATTCTAGTTGTGGCCTTCCCCCTTGGGTGACCTTCGGCAAATCTCTTCACTTCCTGTTACTTGAGTTTCCTATTTATAGAATGAAGAAGTTGAACAAGTTGGTATCCAGCTGGTCTCTTGCAGCTCTCACCTTCTGTGATTGTATGTATGGGTTTGTATTTTCCAAGTACTCTGAAGAGCTCAGCCTGAAATGCCTATTTACCAGTGCAAAGGAGTATAAAATATAAGACACTCTGTTCCTCAGGGACTTAAGGGCTAGAAATTCATCTTTCACTATAAATCCATGACTGATCTCAAATATATGTTTCATTCATTAATCATTAGGATGGTCTGTAACTTCAGCGAAGGCAAGGATTATGTCTCTCTCATTCATTGTGTTTCGTGGCACCTGGCACAGAGAAGCAAGTCTGTGAATATTTGTTAATTGAAGAAATGAATGAGAGCTATATGGACCATTAATGCCATCAGAATTTCACCAGTGTGCAGGTTCACTGAGTAGAGGAAGAAAATATTGTTTTAAAATGTAGTTTATTTGTGGGAAGCAACTTAATATAATAGAATGAGCTAATCTAGGAGATGAGAAACCTTGTTCTAATCTCAGCCACATTTCTCTATATGGCCTTGGGCAAAACCCTTAACCTCCTTGGACCTTTGGCCATAAATGGTAAGGTGGGAGGCCAGAGTGGACGATCATTAAAGATCCTTTCAGGCTGGGGGAGTGATGGGGGGGAAATGGAGACAACTGTAGTTGAACAACATTTTTTTTTAAATGTGAAAGAAAATATATATAAAAAAAAGATCCTTTCAGTCCTTAAATTCTGTGATAGGATATTTTAAAAATCTACTTTTTGTGGTGTGATATGACTAAATGAACTATCCTTTGCAAGTGAAGGTGATTCTATTTCTTTTCTTAATACAGTATGATATTTGAGTTATTTTTCCAGGACGTTTATGGGCAATACTCAGCTTTCACTGTTGAGTGAGGTACCTTGCTGGGGTCAAGCACACCTACCTCTACACTCTAGAGCAGGGGTGTCAAATTCATTTTCTCCAGGGGCCACGTCAGCCTCGAGGTTGCCTTCAAAGGGCCAAAATAATTTCAGGACTGTATAAATGTAACTACTCCCTAACAGTTAAGGAGTTGAAATTACATTCAGCCCTTTGAAGGCAACTATGAGGCTGATGTGGCCCCGGGTGAAAATGAGTCTGACACCCCTGCCCTAGAGTGAAATACCTTCGAGTGTTACAAAATCCTGTGCTCCTTTGTACCCCACATTTTAAGATTGGTGTCTCACCCAAACTACAGTTTTATATAGTTGATAAACGTTCTTAACCTTGTAGCCCTTGCTTTGTCTACCTCCTTCACTAAGAGTTTCAGACTTGATTTTGTGAGCTATTTTGCAACTGTACAGTAATCTCTCCTGGCTCTAAACTTAGTGCCTCTGTCCTTTGTGTACTTGGGGCCCCGAGGAGCCATGTGAGACTTGAGCACCAGAATTCGAGCGTCACTGTCGTGTAATGCTGAGTGTTGTGTACAGCTGGAAGTTCTTAAATCACTTCTTAATTTTGTACATGTTTGGTTGACTTACATAGATAGGTTTGGCTGCAATATTAGGATCCTTGCTTCTTTGTCCCTGAAGTAAGGGCCTGTGAGGAATTATGAAAGTAGCAACAGTATCCTTAAAGGAATTTTATAGCACTGCCTTTTATTCTTCTAGGTAGAATAAAAATAATAGTGAACTTTAAGGAAAAGACAGGAAAAAAGTTAGCCATGTATAAAAGAACATTTTACGAAGGATAGAAATCCTCTCAGTCGAATAATTCTTTGGTTTGGTAAGAAGTGTAAAGGTATACACACTCTCATTGGTGTACTGTCTAAAAATAATGTTCTTTTTTTCCCCTCAGAAGCTGAAAGTCATCAACGAGAAACACAAACATTGGAAGAAACACAAACATTGGAAGAAACACAAACATTAGAAGAAAACAAAGAGAATGCACAGGGCACCATCAGGAAGATGAATAACAAGGAGTTTTTGAGCTATGGTGAGAACCAAGCTGGTCTTAGTATGGTGTTGATTCACACTCAGAAATCCTCAGAAAACATACTAGACGACCTGCAGAGTTAAACAGCTTAATCATGTTGTTTGTTTGTTTGTTTGTTTGTTTGTTTAAGTTAGAAAGTAGGTGGCAATAAGAGAGCAGTAGAGCTTTTTAGGGGGCTTCCCTTTGGGGGTCCTGGCGGTAGTTCGCCACCCTGAGCCAAATGGGCATGTGCCACGGGGGAGGAAAGGCGGTGGGTAAACAAGAACCCAAACTGCCTGTTCAGTGCGAGTGAACCTCTCCAGCGCCGTTGTTACACCTCGACCATTTAACAAAAAACGTCCTGTTGCAGGTAGTCTAGGCGCTTTGAGAAGGGAGACGATCCGGATAGTTCATTTCTGAATCATATCTCTATACAGCATTGCAGCAACAAAGATCTCAGAGCCACAAATACTTAAACTTAGCTTTTACTTTGGAACCAAGACGTTGTATCTTCAGATAATTAAAGATAAGAAATGGGGGGCGGGGGGAGCTATATCCGGTAGGTTCTAAGAGCAGAAAGTTCAAAGGATTTCGGCCAAAGACACTCACCACGGCCAGTGAACCTGACAGGAGGCACCTCGTGTCAGCGCAGCGCGGGCTTGATTTCCGACTCACGATCTCTCTCTCTGTCTATCCTGTCCATTCCCTGGCAGGCCCCTACATTCTTGGCGTCCTGGTGGCTGGGGCTCTGATCTTGAGCTCCGCTCACAGCTACTTCTCCCCGGCCCAGCACGCGCCCCGGAACCCGGCCCTGGAGGCCTTCCTGGCCCAGTTCGGGCAGCTGAAGGAAACGTTTCCGGGCCAGAGTTCCTTCCTGTGGCAGCGGGGCCGGAAGTTCCTCCAGAAGCACCTCAACGCCTCAAACCCCACGGAGCCGGCCACCATCATCTTCACGGCAGCTCGGGAGGGAAGAGAGACTCTGAAGTGCCTCAGCCATCGCGTCGCCGACGCCTACACCTCCTCCCAGAAAGTCTCCGCCATCCAGATCGACGGGGCCGGGCGGACCTCGCAGGACAGCGACACGGTCAAGCTGCTGGTGGACATGGAGCTGAGCTCCGGCTTCGAGGACGGCCGGAAGGCCGCCGTGGTGCACCGCTTCGAGTCCCTGCCCGCGGGCTCCACCCTGATCTTCTACAAGTACTGCGACCACGAGAACGCCGCCTTCAAGGATGTGGCCCTGGTGCTGACGGTTCTCCTCGAGGAGGAGACGTTAGAAGCGAGTGTGGGCCCGAGGGAAACGGAAGAAAAAGTGAGGGATCTTCTCTGGGCCCGGTTCACCAACTCGAACACGCCCCACTCCTTCAACCGCATGGACTCGGACAAGCTGAGCGGGCTGTGGAGCCGCATCTCCCACCTGGTGCTGCCGGTGCAGCCCGTGCGGCTCATCGAGGAGCAGGGCTGCGGGCTGTGAGCCCGGCGCGCCTGCGCGGGAGGCCGTGGGCCCGGCACCCGCGGCCCCGAGGCCTTGCGTGGCCGCGGGAGGAGAGGGTTGGACGCGAGGACATCGCCACAGGGGAGCCGCTTTGAGGGAAACAAATCTTTTATTTTTCACTTCTTGCAGTTTTTTCTAAGCTAAGCATGGCCAAGCTGAAAGCTGACCTGACTTTGTTTCCTTGCCTTTCAAGCAAATCGGGTTTGAAATACAGCATGATATATATAACTGTGGGGTTTTTTTTAATCTAAAAATACAGCAGCAGAATTATTGCACAGGAAAACAATCTTCTCAGAGTAACTACAGAGTGATTTTTGTATCGTATGGGAAATGTTTCAAAAGCTCATATTAATAGCCTAGTGCTGGGATTACATTTTATACTAATTTGCACTTTTTGAATGGTATGAAAAAAGGAAATTTGTATTCAAATAGCTAAATACTGTATGTAAGTCACTGTGCTTTTTCTTCTGTTCATGAGCTGAGATAAAAGCAGCTGTACTCAAAAAAAAATTTTTTTTTTAAATGGGAAATGGTGGGGGATTGTTTATAATCACTGGGAATGAAGGAATGCTAATTGGCTGCACCGTTACCTCAGCTCTTCTGAATTGTCCAGGGCAGTGATTTTCACGCTGTGTCTACTGTTCAACCAGCCCCCCACCCCTTTGTATCCAAACTGTTCTTCAGCTCTTTCACGGGGATTCTTCATAAGATTCCGCTGGAACAGAGAGTTCCACTGATAAGGGAGTTTGAAAACCCCTGATTGAGCGAGAAACCATCTTAGAAGACAGGAAATGGGTAGGAAAAAAATGAATGTATTAAAATTATGAGTAGATACAATAGTAGATACAAGAAGATACAATATATGTTTATTGCACAGACACGTTTTTTATAGAAGTCAAAGACCTATAGATGAATAGCAGAATGTTTAAAGTTGTATCTGCTAGGATATTTCTGATGCTTTTGTTAATTTCTATTAGTCATCAGTTCTCTCTCCCTTGAATGGAATTTTATAATTGTCTAGGATGAGAGTGTGAGTGTCCTTTAAGAGGAACAAAATTTAATAACCAAATGAATAGTAAAATTTATATAGGTACATTAGCATACCTTTACTGTACTGTTTGCTTGTTAAGGTGTAATAGAACATTATGTAGTGCACCTCATTTATTTATCTGCTAGTTAGAAGTACTATTCAGCTAACAAAGAAATGCAAGAGAAGTATACTTAGTGAGAGAAAGCAAAAATGGTAGATAATTTCAAAGAGGTTCTAATGGTCAATATTAATTGTTGGACCTATGTTCTGTGACTGTTAGGTTGAGACAGTGTTTACAAAGACAGTAGATTTTCTTGTTTGTTTAATTTCAACTCTGAAAGCAGAACTCCAGGAAATGATCTTGACCTGATGAAGGGTCTGTCCCATTCCATGGCAGTCCTGGGAACTACCACCATGCTCCTGGGCCATTTCAACTACTCCTGGAATGTTTCAACTAGGTTTTGGCCTCTCTGCTGTATGAGAACAGAGAAGTCATGTGATTAAAGAATGGAAGGAATTTTGGAAACAGAAGATATCAGTATCTTTATTGAAGAATCTGTTTGAAAATATCTGTTGCAGGAAGTAGAGGCACACCTAAAGGAACTATTTTCATTTGGGATTTTATGAAGGAACCTTCTAACAGAATTGAGGAAAGGCCTACCTGAATAAAAAGTTAAAGCATGGCAAATAGAATATCAGTCCAATATACTCTCAGAGGAAATAAACTGAAGAAAGATCTATATACCATAGTCGAGTTTTTTCCTGTACTTCTAGCTCTCAGATGCTAGCATTGCTCTCAAACCGACGGTGCCTTGCAGAACTGTTTCGTGGGCCAGCTGCCCTGGCTGCCTCGGACCTCGCAGGAACCATGTGATCTGTGTGTGTCTAATGTCAGTGACTCGGGTCAGGGTTGAAACAGAGGCTCTTCTTTCTTCATTCAGTGGAATATGGTTTTTCATTATTTCCTTTAAACATGATCTAGAAAAGGAAATTTCCAAAAAAATTACAACTTTTTTACCATTCGGTCTTTCTTGATAAACCTTTTTTCCTTCCGTGGATAAGGGCAGTCATCTGAAACCGTTGTCAGTTCTCTGTCAACTACTTCAGAAATCACTGAAAAGAAGCAGTATATTAGCTCTGGGTCTTCTTATGAAAAAAAAATTATTTTTAAAGCATAAAACTTTATATTTTTTAAAGGAACAAATAAAATGTATTATCTAATAGACTCTTAGGTTAATTTCTACTTGATTCTATTTTTCACATTTTTCAAGTTTCCAAATTTTCTTTTGTGTGTCCAGTAGTTCATCTTTCATTCCTATAATACAGGTTTTGTTTTATTTGACTTTAGAACAAGAACCTGTGGGCATATGACACCCAGACACCACTGTTTAGTTACTATCACAGAATAGCTCTCATTACATCATATATTAACATAAACACTTTTTGATTGACACCAGTATCCTAGAAGCAACTGGTGGAATAAGAAATTGTCTCTGGACTTGAATTTTGCCCCTGTGGGATAAATTTTAGGTTTTCCACTTAGTTTCTAAGGGTTGGCAAAGAAGTTCCAGGGGATTCATATCACTAGAGGTAGTAATGATATTTTCTCTATTTTTTTAATCAAATAATTTGAATGAATTTCATTTGAAAGCCTCCCAGCTTACGGTGGTAAAGCTCAGCATGCTGTGGTCTCTGCCCCTACCCAACTGAGGACCCCTGTGAACAGGGGTAGATGCTGAGGTGGTTTTGACATTTTCAGTTTTTAATTGTTTGAATTATACTTTTATCTGCTAAAGACAGGTGGTGTAATGAGCACTGACATTAAAAAATAACAAATACAACACATGAATGTGATGATTCAGCAACGTGATCTTCACCAGGACTGTATTGGCATATCTCCGACCAAAATGTTTACACAGCATATGCAGGCATCTAGGACTTCAAAACTCATGTTAAATAGGAAATGTAATTTTTGTATCTGATTAGGGTTATCATTTAATGGGAATGACTTTATACCCATGTAGCTTATTTGTGAAGAAGTACTTTCAAATAGCAACATGAAAACTTTTTATCATTTGTAAAATAAAACAATTATAAAAATAAGCCATTACATATTTGTAAAGTGCTCAATATATTATTTCATAAAAGCAGTTTTTAAATCTGTTTTTCAAGTCAAATATGTAGTCAATATCAGTGTTCATTTTAATATTTTGTTTGCCAGTCTGAGCATACTATATTTCACTTTTAAATTTGTTGAAAAGCTATAGTGGTTTTCTTGTTGTTTTTTTTCAAAATTAAAGCACCTTCAACACTGTGTACCACTGTTCATATTTATCTTTATATAAGAATGTAGAATACCATTGATTACAAAGCCCTTAATCACAACCCAAGAAACTACAAAATTATTATTTAAATTTGTTTCTAAAGGCTTCTATGCGATGATCACATACTGAGCCTTAAGAGCCACACACTTATGAATAAATAACAAGTTTGCAGAAAAGATGTTACCAATCCTAGGGAGAACTAAACTAAGATATCCATGTAAAACAGTTTTCCCAGAGGACTTTAAAATACACCTTCTTCCTACTTATTGACAGTTTCGGTGTTAGGTTGTGGCCTAAATTTGCCTCACCGAGACTGAGGTTGGACTACTGAAACTCATTTCTAACTAATAAACTGCCCTATCACCACTTGCTTCTCTACCTGGCTTTAAAAATATATGTGTAGACTAAGAAGGAGCACTGGCCTTACCCAAATGGCCTGAGAACACAAGCCGCATGCCCTAACCTGCAAACAATCTGTAAAGATAAATGAGACTTTGGTGCCTTCCCAGCCAGTATTACCTATAGTCTGTATCTCAGCTTGTTTCGATGTCTTTAAAAATCCAGAGATTGGTTCCTGCCTTGGGAAATGATTCCCCCCCTGTTTTCTCATCGGGGCTCATAAACGAAATTTGCCCTTGGCTAAGAGCACTTACCTGAATTAAAAGGGACATTGTGGACTCGGGAAGCCGCAGGCTGAGGAACACCACCAAGGTGGGGCAGAGTAGGTAGGATGTTAGGCCCAGCCTGCCTTCCCTCACGCCCAGCCTCAGCAGCAGGAAGCTCCTCACAGCTCCTTGCAGCTGATCAGATTACTCGAAGTGCAAATCTATTTGCCATCCCTGCCATCAGAGGAAGAAGCAGCATATTGACTTTGAAATACAACTGCATTTTTTTCTCTATTGAACAAAAATGAGTGGACTTTTGCCAGTATCCGGGTCCAAGTTCTTGGTGTTCTCAGCTGTCCAACTGGGGTTGCTTTTGCATTTGTTTCTTATGGATGTTGAAGAATGTGCCTTATTCAAATCAGTTGTTTGGTTTTACCGAAAATAAATGTTAAATTTTCTCCGTCGACTGATTCTTTGTTCTATTTCCAAAAATGGCAAGTTTATAGAGTTGGGCCTGTGGTCATCTATTGTGGTAAAGAAAACTGCCCTCGTCTGGCAAATGCAGGAGCCTAGGAATGCTGTGTATATAGGTCAGGCATCTTCGGGGCCCTAAGTAACGCCATACAGTGCAGAGGCTGAGCCTAGAACCTGCTGTTCTTGCACGTTCTTCGGGCACTAGTCCTACTTCATGAGGCTTTTTGGGTCAGAGGGAGAGTGGGGTTGTGAGTAAAGCCTTGGGAACTGCTCCTAGCCTGGGGTGTGCTGACAGGAAATGTGTTCCTAAGGTGGTTGTCACTCAGTTGTGTGTCAACGGTTTCTGCCATAGAATGTCGCCAGACAAGAATCCGAGCAGCAGTGCCTGAACACCTGTCTCAGCCTCTTCCCCCTTCCCTTGGCTTTCCGTCCCTGCTATTCCCTGCTCAACTCAAAACAGCAAACTGATTGATATAGCTCATAGAATAGTTTTCTATCAGACCTGAATTCAATTTTGAAAATCTGATTTTTTTTGGTTTAGAAAAGTAGGAATTTCCAGGAGCTTGCGTATCTTAAAATATGAGCTTTCAGTGGAATAAGCTCAAGTCCAAGGATAAGAGGAACCTGAGAATGAAGAACAAAGGATTTTCCAAGCACCCACCTCCGGTTGCTGCAGCGGTGGCCGCCTCCTTCCTTTGTAGACAGGCTGACCGCAAACTGCAGAGAGCGCTGTGCAGGGGGCTGGTGGGAGCCAGCAGTGAAACCACCCTCCACGGACAGCCTGTCTACCCCGGGAGATAAGGGGTACACCAAATACCAGTGTTCCACCCTCCAACGCCACAGAGAGGCCAGAAGAGGGAGTACCACCTTCTAGGGGTGGCCCAGGAGGAAGTCATTACTAAATCAGGGAAAAGGTGTGAAGAACATGTCAACTTTGGGTTGGTGTGTGGGGTCAGAGTTGTAATTGAAAAGTCATCCCAGGTGGGGTGAACAGAACTGGGAAAATTCCTGTTTGTTTTTTCTTTAGGTTTTTTATTTTTTAGGGGCAGGCATGGACCCTTTCTGGACACCTGATGCACAGGCATTCATACTCAAACCCCGAGGGCTGGGTTCGCAGACCCTGTGTATGTTAGAACATCAGTTTGGTTGAAGTTCCTGTGCAGAATCTGGGGTGCAACTGGTTGGCTCTCCTTCCCCTTTCCCTTCCACTTCCTTCTCTGTGGCCAGTGCTCCACCACTGTGGCAGCCAGGGACCGTGAGGGGACAGGTGGCTGCCCCGTGGAGCAAGCACGCCCAGTGCAGTGAGGCCTGCTGCAGAGATGAATCCCGGGGCTGCCCTGGTGGACGGCTTCTGCCTGGGGATGCGTGAGTGTCGGCCTGAGACCTCGGGCCTGTCGACTGGCAGGGCCTAGCCCCTGCGAGTGCTGCCAGCTGTGGCGCAAGGAGGCCTGGCCTCTGCGCTGCCCGCCCAGAGGGCCTTGCTCCTCCCGGCTGGTTCATTCTCTCTGCGGTCCAAATCCTGTTCCTTTTCACCTTAAAAGATGCTGCCTGCCCAGGCCTCCCCTCACCTTTCCCTCAGAATAAGCTGCAAAGCTACATTCCAACGCTGTTATTTTTGGAGTTTCCCGGAAGCCAGTTTGTGCTTTAGGCCTTTCATCGTGGGAGGGGGGAAGAGAGGACTCCTTATCACCCCACCTCGCTACGGAGGAGCCCCCTCCTTCCTGCAGGACTGGCAGGAGCAGCCTCCCTTATAACTCTGTTTTAATATAAAACTAAAATAGAGCTGTGAAAAAGAATCCAAACGTAAGTGTTTACAGAGTTTCTGTTTGGGGTGACGAAAAAGCTTTGGAAACAGCAGTGATGTTTGCATGACATTGGGCATGTAATGCCAACTCCAAGTGGTTACAATAGTAACCTAGTGGTTACTTTACGTTATCCATGTCTTACCACAACAAAAAATTATTACTGTCTTTCCCTCTAGACTTCTGCGTTTCGGGGAGAAAGCCCGCGCTGCGCTTGTGTCCTAGAGGACCCTGCGCCTGCGGAGCGCCCCCGGAGGGGCCCCCTGGCAGCCGCGTCCCAGCCTCAGAGCCACAAGGACTCAAATGTGGCAGCACGTTAGGGGGTCACGACACGCCCAGCCGGCTGCTTCTCCAGCAACGCGGCGCCACTCACAGTCACAGGTCAGGGCGGAGGCCTCTGCAGGCATCCCCCCCAGGGCCTGCTCCCGGGCGGACACCTGGACGCCTTGTGGCCTTGTGACCGTCTGGAATGCGCCCTGTCCTCAGGCACATTTTTGGTGTTATTTAACTCAGGAAAAAAAGTGCCCTTTTGAAAGTTAGAGGTTGAAAATAATATAACAAGGGAGACATCAAAAGGCTTTGTTCCTGCTCCCATCTCATCGACTGCCCACTTCCTCCCAAGAGGAAGCCATTTTTGTCAGTTTTGTGTGTATTCTTCCAATGTCTATCTCAGACATATTTTATATGACCCCCTTTCCCCTTAATTAAAATTCTCAATCCTTAATTTTTCTCCTTTGGGTTCCTCGTCATTCATTGTCACCAGCTCATGACTCCCCATCAGATGGGGCCCAGGGGGCTGGGTGGGGGGAGGGAGGCCAAAGCAAAGGAGGGAAGGGGGAGGGGCTGGTGAGACCCTCAGGACGCAGGGGCCTGGGGTTTGGAGTCTCCTAGTCACTCTGGATCCCTTTGGTCGGGGCCTTTGTGTTTGGAGACAGAATTCAGAGGACGCTGTGGGGAGGGTCGGGCCTCTGCTTCCACTTTGGGACGTTGAATTAGACCCAGGACCCACCCCCTCTCGGGAGCGGTGCTTCATTAGGGAAAAGGGTGTGATTCCCAAAGGCAGGAAACCTCTGGCCCAAGGCAACACCCAGCCCGGGAGGATCCATTGGTATCAGGGTGGGATGCAGTGGAGCCAGCACCGGGCTTGTACCTGCAGGCCGGCACCAGAGCCCTGGGTTCCTCCTGGTGACCAGGTGTCTGTGGCCAGGGCCGATGAGCCTGTGATCTTCCGAGGAGACCTGGAGGGAAGGTGATCGATGCCCAGCGTGAGCCAGCCACCAAGCCTTTGGATGATGACGCCGGCGAAGACCCAGATTGTCCTGCCTGCTGGGTGGAGCCGGCCTGGGAGCCGTGGGTCTGGGGGAGAGGGGGGCATCACCTACGCCCTAGCTCCCAGCTGTGGCTGGGGTCCCTTGCTGGTGGTGGTGGTGGTGGTGTGTGTGTGTGTGTGTGTGTGAGTGTGAACAGAGTAAGGGGTAGGTAAAGTAGATGACAGGATAGACAGGAAGTATGGGAGCCACATGCTCCCCTTGAGGCCTGGGCCAGTCTTCCCTGAGGAACCAGCCACCCTTAGGAAAGGACCTTCTGGGGAAGTAGCTCACCTGCGATTGTGGGGGGCGGTCCTCTGGAGAGAGGGGTGCTGGACTGCTGAGGCCGGGCTGCCTGCTGCCCGGCCAGCTGTAGGCAGGGCTCCAGGTGGCTTTGAGGTAGAAGGAGAGCGTCTCTCTCTCCCTTTCTCTCCCCCCTTCTCTCTCTCTCTCTCACACACACACACACACACACACACACACTCCCGGGCACCCACACAGATCCATGCTGCCTCTCCCCCTCTGCCCACTCCCCCTCCCTCTCCACACTAAGCTGATTCCTGGTTCCCGGTCCTCCCCCGCTGCTCCCGCTTCCGTGGTCTCTGCAGGGGATCAGGGCTGAGGATCCATCCCCAAAGTCTCTTCCCTCCCTTCCCAACACGCAGGGGCTGGTCACGTGACACTCTGGGTCTCCTCAGACTGGGTGACTGGACCCAGAGCTGCAGGTGGGGACACCACAGGCCTGGACAGCCAGGGTGGAGTGGGGGCAGGGAGGGGCTGATGCCTGAGTTGCTCCCCCTCAAGGCGCCCGCCCCATTGTTGGCAGGGCCACTGCTACCTCCAGGAGCCCTTTCCCACGGACCACACGTCCCCCCTGGGTGGGCGCTCAGACCCAGGCGATGGGGACGGGGAGAGCAGGCGGCACGGTGGAGGGACTCAGTTGGTGTGGACGCAGGAAGGGAGAGGAGGCTGGTAGACAGCTTTGGTGTTGGAAATGGATACTCTGGGTGACGAGAAAGAGTTCCCACGCCTACATCTGTGCCCAGTTGCCCCGCCCCCCCAGGTGAAGAACGGAAGACCCGGTGGGATTTCTATTTCAAACTCCTCATTTATTGGCGTCGACTTGGTTGTGACTCCCAGCTATCAAAGATGCAGGAGGAGAAGTCCGAGGCAGGAGCAGGGGAGGGCCGGTGGGGACAGGCTGGCGGGGGCGGGGGGGACCGGCTGGGACCAGCCTCCCCTCTTCCCGTGGGGGGCGAAGTTCGCAAAGTGTCCAGTGTCCCACGGCTGGAAAGCACGGCGCGGGTGAGTGGGGTGAGCTGGCTCTTGCACAGGTGCAGCCCTCGCGGCTCCAGGGAGGGGGACGGGCGATCTCCAGCCCAGGCCCTGAGCAACATGGGCCTGTGTGCGGGAGAGCCAGGGCCCACCACTTCTTGGCTGCCCCCAGACAGATTTTCATGTGTGGGTGGACGGGGTGCTAGGCTGGGAAAGCTAAGGAGACCGGGCCACACAAAGTGCTTTTCACGTGGGGACCCCCAAGAGGTCAGGGGTGAGAAGCGGGTGACTTGGCCAGGTTGTCTTGGTTTCTGCAAAGGCAGGAGGTACCGTGACACTGTGGTTTTAGGGGGAGGAGGGACAGCCCTTGCTGGAGGGGACCGGCCGTGGGACTCCAGGGCAGCAAGGCACCGGGGTGGGTGGTCAGGAAGCAGCGGCGAGGGCTGCTGGGGCGCACTCGGCCCAGCCAGGGGGCAGGTGGTGGCAGGGGCACGGTACAGCTGCTGTCCTTGGCTGGTCCCTCTGGACTCGGGGATGGGTCTCATCACCCCCACCTGGGGCTGCCTCCCGGGATAAGAGAAATGCTACCCTTTGAGGCCACTCACAGGAGAGTCAGACAAACGTGTGCTTTTCACGGACAGTTAGAATGGGGTTTTTGCCTGCTAATCCTGTGTGTGTGGTCCTCCGTCCCCAGCACGCATGCCTGCACCCAGGGTTGGGCAGTCGGCCGGACCCGGCAGACCGGTCCAGTTAGCCCTGGCTTCCCGGCGCACTCTCCGGCCGTCGGAGTCCATCGGGCCCGGTCTCAGCTCCCTGGAGAAAACGGGGTCTCAGAAAAGATAAGATTGGTCCGAGAGCTGATGACCCAAGAGTGACCAGACCGCGGTCCTTTGAGTCTCAACCCGGCACGCCTTCACTACAGACGGAGCGGCAGGGTGGCGCAGAGGCCTGGCGGATTCCCTTCCCCTGCCCCACTGCGCCCTGCGCTTTCTCAGGCGCAAAGCGGAGATTTCAGCAGAGGGGCCAGCTGCTAACCCGCCCTGCCCTCTGCAGCGTTCAGTGACTCAGGAGTGGGTGGGGGTTAGTTATGCCTTAAGAGGGGGTGCTGCCACCCCTTACTGCAGAGGCAACTGGAAACTCATCGGGCGCATTCACTCAAAAGGCAGAAAGCTGTGGCTGAGATATCAGTGGAAGAAGGAGCTGGACTTGGGGCTAGGAAGGGACAGCGATGAGCAGGCCCTTGCTGGGAGAGGGAGGGGGGCGGGGCGGGGGCCCGTTGAGAGTTGAGAGAGGGCGGCAAGCCGAATCCAATTGCTAAGTCAGATCCCTCTTGTCCTCAGGAGTGAGGGCAGCTGTCCCTGGTGGGAGGGCTGGTCTGGCTCTCCTGTGTCACAGCCCACAGGGGCTGACATGGCAGCACCATCCTGTACCAGCCACCTGAGTGCTGTGGGGGGTCGGTCCCCTCAATCACCTTTTGCTCCTGGTGGCTGGGGGTGGTGGGTTTCTAGTTGCTACATTCGAGACTCCCTCTCTGCAGTTCCCGAAGGCAACAAAGCCCGTGTTCGGGTGGTGACCGGTGTGTGTGCACACACCTGAGAACGCACACACCCTCGCAGGATTGCAGCCATGCATGTCACTCGGTGTGGGGGACCTTGGCCCTGGAGGCCATCAGCGGGACCTCACTCGTGAAGCTACTTGAACCCTGGCAACATAACTTGATAAAGGTTCTCAGCTGGGCAGCTGGTTCCCATAGCAAAGCAAGGATCTGGGGGGAGACAGGGCCAGACAGTCACTTTTTGGTGCATTCCGCGCAATCGCCTCATGCTTTTAAAGCCAACCCAGCGCACGCCACCAAGGAAGGGGCAGAGCTGGGATGGGCTCAGGAATCTACATCTGGTTTGAGCAGCTTTGGGCTCTGCGGTCTCTATGACAACCAAAATATACAAAACGAGATTGTGAACGGGCTTTTGGGTTCACGTTAGCGCGCAAGTCCTGGAGAGGTCCCTTCAACACTCTCCTCTCCCTTCTCAAATTCTGCGGTGTGCTAGTGGTCACCTGGCCCCTCTCACCCCCTAAGGACTCTGGGGGCCTCCAGACCTCTGCAGAGCCTCCCCTCTTCTCGCCGTCTGGAGAAGCCGGGGCCGTGAGGGAAGCACGGGAGGCCGGGGGTGCTGGAGCTGGCCGGAGGAACGTCCCAACAGAGAAACCTGTCAGGCCCGCCTCTGGGCCAGGGGACCAGGCCCTGCCCTGGCTCTCAATGCACTCGATGGCTTCAGTCCTGGTGAGCCTTCCCGTGCAGGGCAAGGAAAGCCAAGGGAACAGAGACAGTCCTTGTGGCGTGCCGGAGGGGTGGGCCGCTGGCCCCAGGCCTCCGGCTGGGGTGTCAGCGTTGGTGGGTGTGGGGGGTCAGGGGAAGAGGGTCACACGTCTGTACTAATAGCCCTTGGATTGGTGAAGGCCTCACGCCCAGAGCCCGGCCATGTCACCGGGTAACTCTGGGGTGCTGCCAGTTGGAGGGACGAGGGACCCCCCTCCTTGTAGTACATGGGAGCGAAGGACAGCCTCTCGCTTCCACCCCCATTGGGCACCATGTCCGCTGTCCGTATGTAAAAGGGGGAGCTGTACGGGGAGCAGGTGGCGCAGTGGCGGGCTGCCACCCCGCACGGCTGGCCGCAGGGCTCGCTGGGGAGAGGCGCCAGGCTGCCTCTGCCGTCCAGGGCTTGGGAGCTGCAGGCATTGCAGGGGGGCGCCCCGGGGGAGGTGGGCCGGTCGTGGTCCTCCTCCTCCGCATCTGCATCCTCCTCTCTGCTCTTCTTGCAGCAGTAATACTGAGGGGAGAGTGCACAGGGCCCCCTTTCAGTGGCACCGCACCCGCCACCCTGCTCCCTCACTGAGCAAACTCAGCACCAGAGGCCACACTCCACGAACAGGGATTCCCAGCCTCGCAAGACTTTCCCTCTTTCTCTCCCTGCTTCCCAGTGTGCTCACTCAGCGGTGGCTGGGTGAGGCAAGGAGGCCGGGAGGCCAGGAGGAAGGGTCAGACAACCATACTGAGCACAGGGCTGGGGTGAGGGGCAGCTGGGAGCAGCTTTCGGAGTCTCCCCAGAATGGGGCCCTTCCCAGCACCCCTGAAATCTCAGCCTCGCAGGAGACACAGCACCGTGAGCTCTCACTGGGTGCCCTGAGTGTGCTGTGTGGGGTCTGCGGAGTTCCCTTGTGACCGCCCCCCACCCCAGCACCCTTGACCAAAACCTCCCCCGCTCCCTGGCTTTGGACTTTGTCACCCAAAATGGCCTGCAGCGTCCGTCCCCACAAGGGGGACGCCCTGTGCTGGTGGCTGCTGGCCGAGGCCCCGGACTGACCTGGAGCCTACAGTAGCACAGGACAGCGATGATGCAGAGGAGGATGACCGCAGCCAGGATTCCGCCCGTGATCACAACCGTTCCCGCTGTCATCCGCCCGATGCCCCATCCAACTCTGCGGAGAGATGCAGGGACTGGGCGGGGGCAGGAGGCCCTCCTGGAGCTGTCCGCGCCGCTGGAGGCCTGGAGGGTCCCGGGCACTGGGACACCAGGGGTGGCTGTGGCCAGGGCCAGCCTCCCGCAGGGGCTCATGGCACAGAGGGCATGGGAAGCAGGCAGGATGCTAGCTGAAGGCATAATTCTGCTTCCTGTGTCTGCCCAGCTTCAAGGCTTCTTGCTCTCTCTCTCTCTCCTTTAATTCTCCTCTCCCTTGCTTGTCCCCTCTCCTCACACCCTGCTTAGACTGCACCCCTTCCACCACCCCGAGGCTCCAAGACACAAGGAAAAATGGCTTCTGCTTCTGGACGGCTTAGTCAGAGTGAAGCCGCGCCCCAAGCAGGCCCCTGGTTATCTCCGTTAATCCTCCGAACAACCCCTGGGCTGGCTCTTAATCACCCCCATTTGGCACGAGCCGAATGCGCCTCTGATTGACTTGGCTGCGATCCCACCCAGCCTGGGTCACCCCGACGCCATGCCCTCGATCACTGCCCTCCAGAGTGCAAACACCAGGGTCCCTGACCTTGACCCAGGCGAGGGGACATGGTCTGAATTCAGAAGTTCTACCTAATTCTGCCCCGGCTCAAACTCGTACTCCTTTGGGGGTGGGGGTGGGGTGTCTCTTCTCTTTCCAACTCTTGTGGAAAACAGGGGCCAGGTGAGCACCCAGGGAGCAGGAAGGTGGCATTCTGGCTCCGGGAAGGCTGTGGGGGTCTGGGGACCCATGTCCTGGCTAATGTGGGCTAACGGGACAGAGGGCGGCTCTGGGTGCCAGGCGGCCTGGCCTCAGGCTGACTCCCTTTGCGGGCCACCGAAAGGGCTCTCCCAGGGGCCCAGGCTCATGGGGACCAGGGATGGTGGTGCCAACAGAGCAGGAGGGTGGGAGGGGCCTCGGCATCTTGAGGATGGAAGAAAGACCATGAGCACTTACGTTCAGCAGGGAACTGGTGCCCTGCAAGACAACAGAAGGGGCGGAGACGTTGGGAGAAGGGTGTTACCCCTGGGAAAGGCCCCGCGTGTCCGATGGGTCCCTGAGCTCCACCTCACCTACTGTGCTTCCCGCACTGCAAGCTTCGTCGGCAATAAGCCCACAAGCCCCCCATGAGCTGGGGCTCCGGCTCTGTCTCCGGCTGCTAGTGGGCAGGCAGGCAGCTCAAACTCAGGTGAGGTCATCGCCCACACTCCACACAGGCTCCCCACCCCCAGCCTCTGTTAGCGGTTCCGTCTGAGCTGCTGTGAAGGGCTGTGCAGGTTGTTCATTACTTAAAGGGCAAGTGGGCGCAGGACCACAGGCTGCACTCTGCTCACAGAGCCACACACCCTGCTGTGTTCGCCTGGCAGAGGGGGCGCTTTCTCTTCACCCAAAGGCACCACCTGCTCCTCACCGTGCGTCCCAGAGCACAGCATGCACCCCGGCCCTGCTGCTAATGCGCTCGACCTGCTCACAGAGCGGGCTTCACACCACAGCCCGGGCAGCCCCCGGGGGTGGGTTAGAAATGCAGCATCTCAGGCCCCACCGCAGGCCTAAGGAGTCAGAATCTGCATTTTAGCAAGGTCCCAGAAGATTCGTTTGCATAGCAGAGTTTCACAAGGCCACAGGATGTTCCTCTAACTGCCCAGGAGTTCAAATCCTCAGATTCTTCTCCGGCTCCCCCTGCATTCTGTTCCCCACGCATCAGCGACGACACTTTGCGTGTCATGCCTGCCCCCTCGCAGTGGTTCCCGAATTGATCTCACTGGTTTCTCTCTGGGCACCACCCCCCACCCACCATTTAGCCTCTCATCGTCCCCAACGCCCCTCTCTTCCTCCAGAGCCTCCCTGGCATCACACTGCCTGCAGGACACGTTGATCTGGGCGCGCACTTGCACAGCAAACGTCGAAAGCTTTGCCCCGCCCCACTCCCCTGCAGGCTCACCCCTGTTCATGTTTCCCCTCCTCAGCCTCTGTTGTCTGCCCCCCCGCCCCATGAACCCTCTGCCCCTCAGGTAGGCCCGGTTCCCAAGGAGCTTATAGCCTCATGATGCAAAGACACTGAACACACCTTAGCTCTGGCGTAGGACACATAACCAGAGACACACAGACCAGCAAGGACGCTGTGCGGGAGCAGAGTCCTAAAAGCTGGTCAGAGCTTGTCCAGTAGACAGGGTGGGCAGGGCAGGAGGGTGAAAGGACATGGGGGTCCCGGGCCCGTAAGGGGTTTGGAAAGGCCCAGACAAGGTCAGGGAGGGACGACGCTAGAGAGGCTGCAAGCCAGGCAAGGGATTTAACTCTCTTGGAGACGCTGGGGGCTCCAGAAGGGCTTTTAGGAGGGTGTCTCTGTTTCTGTCTCTGTCTCTGTCTCTGTCTCTGTCTCTGCCTCTCTCTGCTCCTCCTGCAATGCCTTTCCACGTGCCACTTTTCCAACCCTGACTTGGAAGGACGCTTATCAACACTCACGTGCGAACATCTTGACTCCTCCGCTAAACTATGAGTCCTCTGGGATTAGGGGCTCTGTTTTATACTCATCTCCCTGCTGCGCTATACACAGTGCCTGACACACAGCAGCGGGTACTTGACACAAGTTTGGTAATCATCTGCCGGTACACTATTGCTTCCATAGGCCTGGCGGTTGTGACCCTGACCCACCACCAGGGGGCAGCAAGTTGTACGTCTCAGCTCACATCCTCTCTGCAGACTGGAGCACCATCCTTGAAGAGCAGACTTTGCCCAGGTACGTGGTGGGCCAGACTTCAGGGGTTTGCTGAACATTTGGTGTGGGGGGTAAAGCGTGGCCTTGGGAGGATCTGTGTACCTTCACTAAAACACTACTCCACCTTCCCCTGCTCACTGATGAGAGCCCATGGAGTGACCGGAAGTGGGGGAGGCAGCAGGGACCCGCTCTGCTAGAAGTCCTGGTCTGGCCCCCCGGGCTGTGCCCAGCCAGTTTAGGAGACAGGGAACTATGAAGCCATGTGGGAACCGTGCTCTCCCTCTTTCTGCCCTCGGTGCCCAGCCTCCCCTCTTTCAGCACCTTGGAGGCTGCAGAGCAGAAATAGCCTGGAAATGGCAGGGGGTGGGGGTGGGGCAGGGCAGGCCAGCAGTCGTGGGTCTGGAGGCCCATTTGAGGCCCAGTGGTACCACTTACCAGCCACCCGAGCTTGGAAACTGGCCACCTTTCTCATTTGTAAGAGAGATTAGCCAGAAACTGAGTTTACAGGTACGGCTGTGAGTGAAAAGTGAGACTCATGCGTGCAAGGGCCCCTTGTAAGCTAAAAGGTCCTTCACACACAGTTATTTGAGGGGAAAAGGCAGACCCAGCCATTCTATGGCTGCTGACGTCTGGCCTTACAACCAGAAACCAAGAAGGTGCGGGCAGAGGCCTGCAGCGAGCTGGCCAGGCCCCCGCCCGTGTCCCTGAGGGCCCGGAGCCAAGGGCTCAATTTAGCCTTGGAATTCCCACATCCTACGTGGCTCTCCAGTATTTCACGTAGGCTCGTGTTCTCGTTGCAACGAGATGCATGTGATAACAGTAGCTCAGAGCACGTAAACATAACTCTCCAGTTTCCAGCATGCTTTCATCTGCATCCCCTCCTACGACGGGCCGGCTGTAAGACGGCCCCAGGTGAGCCCGGGCGATCAGGCTTGTGCACTCCCCTCCCCTCAGGGCCGGATGGGGCCTGGGACCTGCGACCACCCACCAGAACACGGCAAAGGTGAGGGCATGTCACCGCTGCGAATAGGATTACAGAAGAGTCTGGCTTCTCTCTTGCTGGTCCACGTTCTCCTTCGCTGGTCTTGATGCAGCCAGTTGCCATGTTGGGGAGGCCCATGTGACAAGGAACTGAAGGTGGCCCCCGTCCTGCAGTCCACGGGACAGCAGGGGTGGAGCCCCTCTAATCGAATGGCCCAAAAGGAACTGAACAATCACATAGGCGAGAGTGGGAGTGGATTCTTCCCCAGTGAAGCTTTCAAGTGCAAATGCAAGCCCAGGGGACACCCTGATTGCAGCCTCATGTCAGACCCTGGAGTGGTGGACCCAGCTGGCCACACCTGGAGTCCTGACCCACAGGGACTGTGAGATCATCAGTGTGTACCGTTTAAGCTGCCCAGTTTGTGGTAGTTTGTTATGCAGCAAAAGAGAACTAACACCTTCTTTGCACTGTACAAAAACCCCACACACGGGGTGGGGGGCAGGGGGGCGGGAAGCCCGACCCTTAGGTGGCTTGCCTGGTCCCGCACAGCAAGAGTCTGAGTGAGGACGCAGGGCCCGCTGCTGTGGGGTTCCCGTCACAGCAGCCTCCTCCTGAGTAGCTCCCCGAGGACAGGAGAAAGAGGCCCTGTGTGCCCTCCCACGGCCGAGCACAGCTGGGCAGAATGGACTCGGTGGTGGCCAACTCATGGACTGATGGTAGCTGAGGAGGACAAAGCTGCTGCCCACTAAGCACTCCCAGGGCCTGCCCTCGGCGACCAGGACTCTCTGGAGCTCCCTCCCCGCCCACACCCCTCACCTTCCTTTGTGCGGAGAGGGGCCTGGCCTGAGCCTCACATGACTTACGTGAAACAGCTGGGGCAGCAATGACTCAGTCACACAGGCCGAGCCTGAGCAGACAGCAGTTGGGGGTGCGTCATGGCCAAGGGCATCAGTCCCTGCCGGGAGAAGAGAGGGGAAGGTCAGAGAGAGCTGGAGGGGAGGCTGGGAGGACAGACAGGCTCACGTTGGCACCAGGTGGTGGCCCCTAGCCTCTGGAGCAGACATACCCAGAAGGGCTTCTTTCCTGACCTCCACAGCTGCCTGGGTTTCTGAGGTCCCCCGCCCAAGAACCCGAGGACAGGCTCTGAGGCCACAGCCTGTCTCATCCTGGTTCCCTTCTCTCGGTGCCACTGTGCAGAACCCTGGGCCCAGAGCAGCAGCAAGGGGCTGGGCAAGAGCTGCTGTCTGTTCTGGGAAGGGAGGTGCAGTGGGGGAGGGAGGCGGCTGCCTCTCTCGTGCTCCACTGGAGAACTCTGACCCTTCCTCTGGAGACGTGCCCTTGTTACCTGCATGGCTGACACCTCTCTCAGCGGCCCTGCACCCCTCCTTCCCATTCCCTTCCCTGCTCCCCCTGGGCCTGTCCATTCCCAGTGCCCCGAGCTGCACGCTCCTTCCCCTATACCCCAAGCCCCCTCAGGCCAGCAAGGCCACTGGACGGCGGTTGAACAAGTTTGACAAGATCATTATGGGATGACGAGATCATCCTGCTGACCTGCTTGTGGCAATGGGGAGGCAGGACCCAACCAAACCATGCAGAAGCCCAGGGTGGACTAGTTAGTGGGGTCCCTACAGACCAAAATCCTTTAAATATGCACTCAACATTATTGAGGCGCATGTAAGCCTCACACTGGGACTGGGGAGTTGGGAGCACAGGGGTGCCCTCTGGTGCTGACACTCCCCCAGCTCATCTATCATATGGAAGGTGGCCCCACTGGGCGTGTGTCTGATCAGGGAAGGAGCCCAACCATTAACAGGACCGGCAAAGCCACCTTCTGTGGGGACAGAGCTGAGGACAGGAGGTAGCATGCCCCAAGGACGGGTGGTCCTGTGAGTTCAGCAGGTCTGAGGCGCAGCGCCTTTGTCTCCCGAATTTTTCAACGCACCCATGAGGGGTCATCCATGAGACGTTCACCACTGTGTTTCCAGGGGCGGGCAGGGGACTGAAGGCAAGCTCAGTGATCCTCACTGGGAGGGAGGAGGAACACCAGGGAGGTGCACACCTCGGAGGAGACCACAACTGATTAAAGCGATGAACCAGATGGGCCACAGCGACACACAGCAACAAGCATAGCTTTAGCACAGTGCTCAGTGAAAAAGACAAAAACAAATGACAACAACAGCAGCAAAATAGAATGAGAGGTGTAATACTGCTTACATAAACTTAAGATATAAGCATACAGTCCTGGTTGGTGTGGTTCAGTGGACTGAGTGCAGGCTGAGAATCAAAGGGTCGCTGCTTTGATTCCCAGTCAGGGCACAAGCCTGGGTTGCAGACCAGGTCTCTAGTAGGGGGCGTGCGAGAGGCAACCACACATTGATGTTTCTCTCCCTCTCTTTCTCCCTCCCTTTCCCCCTCTCTACAAATAAATAAAATCTTCAAAAATATATAAGCGTAGAGATCAATTCATATTTTCAAGAACACATACTAAAAGCAAAACCAAACAAAGCCCCAAGCTCATAGGTACAGAGAATAGATTTTTGGTTGCCAGAGGCAGGGAGTGGGGGTGGGAGAAATAAGTGAAGGGGGACTAAAGTTACAAACTTTCATGTATAAATAATTCATGGGGAAGTAATGTATATGAAGGGGAACTGGAAAAAACCCGAATTTGTTTATAAAAAATTGTGTATTTATTCTTACATGTTTAAACTTTAGTCACCTACAAAGTACTCTCTATTTAATGCAATATACCTATTGGGACATTTTTTTCCACCACTCAAAACAGTTCTTGAACTCATCTATTTTGATGCATTTTAGTTCTTCTGTTGTTTTCTGTTTCACCTCTTCCACATCAGAAAAATGTTTCCCTTTGAGGACTTTTTTCATCCAGGGGAACAATTAAAAAGTTGCTTGGGGCAAAGTGGATAGGGAGGGCAAGGAGTGGGGGGTCATGTCTTTTTGGTCAAAAACTGCTGAACACTCAGCGTGGTGTGGGCAGGTGCACTAGTAAATCACCCATCATGAAATGGGCAAGCATGTTGAAAGAGTCTTCAAAAAAAAACTCACTGAAGCTGAAGGCAGCCTCTCACAACGATGCCAGTTGGCACAGTGATGCAGATGGGTTTCTAGAACGCTCATCTAGTGGGGGAAGCCTGTACTACAAGGAGCCCGCCCTCCAGAAGATTATTCCTATTTTTTGGGGGGATACCCCCTCATAGTTGGTGACCACAGTTAATAATACTGTATTATATATATGAAAGTTGCTATGAGAGATTTTGAAAGTTCTCATCACAAGAAAAGTAAATTTTTTGTAACTATATAAGGTGCCGGATGCTAACTAGACTCACCGTGGCGACCACTTCACAAAGCAGACACACAGCAAGTCAACAGGTTGCACACCTGAAACTAACATAATGTTGTGTGCTCAATGGCCCTCAATGAATAAAGCAAAACAAACACAAAGACCAAAAAGTGGATGCGCATTAAATGTGTTAGAAAGGCTGACTGTGAAAGGAGGAGAACGAGAATGAGGATAGAAGAAGAAATAAATAAAACGAGAGAGGGGACTCGCACAGACTAATGACGAATGATCACGTGGAGCGTCTGGGATGCAACGCTGAGGAGTCCAATGAACGTGACCTTCTGCATCTGAGAGTGACCGCTCCACCCTGAATGTCCAGGCTCCATTCCCTGTCCCCAGGGGACTGCCTCTCGGCCACCCTCCAGGCGCAGGGGTGGGCGTCCCCGAGGAAGGACAGACCGGGGAAAGACGGCTGCGCAGGCCTGGAAGCAGCTCAGGACTGTTCGCACGGGGCAAGCGTGTAATCTAGAAGGGAGGGCGCAGACTCGCGGTCCCTGTGACGACGTGGCCTGAGTGAGGAGCCTGCGGGCAGGGGTCCAGGGGCTACTTGCAATGTGCACGTTCCAGGATGTTAAGTTCCTTGGGTCTTCCTTTCTTTGGGTGTTCATCTCATCAAGAGATAATATATTCCCCGGTTTAAAGACCAAAATCCTCTGTCTGGGACAGAGACATCCAGGCTGAGCGGGGCATTAGGGGAGCCTTGCTGGGCTGTTCGATTTAGGGAGCAGTGGCCTTAAAAGGAAGACAGACAGACAAAATAACTGGCGGGGATTCTAATTCGTTTCGCTTTGTTTTCTGCTCGTTTCTCCCTGGCTGCCTGCCTACACAACATCCCTGATTTATGCCTCTTCTGGGCTTTGGGGAATTTTCCTCTTGTATTCCACCACTTTCGTCCACGTTATCTCTTCTGTCTCTTCCTTCTCTGGCGTTCCAAAGGCCACCATCTTCCCAGGGGCCAGCTCTGCCTTGCCCACCCAACTAACTCGCCCTTCGCCCCAGTTTATCCGTGCAGGTGGGCCAGAAGGGCTGTTCGGAACTGGGTTACGAGTGTGGATGCTGCAGACTGTCAGCCAGACCGGAGCTGAACTACTGGCTCCACTGACTGCTTATCAGCTTTGTAGCCTTGGACAAACCACACAACCACTTTGGCCTCAATTTTCCATCTCAAACATCTCTACAATGGGGATAACAGTAATTATGTCATAGGACCAATTAAGAGGGCCTACTGAGAAAATCCACAAAAAGCTCTTAATTTTGCAATGGCTAGCACGTAACAGCCCCTCAAAAACACGTCAGCTGTAGTCACGAACACTTCCTCCCTCTGTGGATGGTGCTCCTTCTGCCCCAAGGCTTGGAACCTTGGCGTTAACTTTGACACCTTTTCCTTGTCTCCTGAATTTTCTTAATCATCTGTTTCTTCCTGTCTGTGCCTGTTGCTACCATCTGTGCACCATTATTTCCCGCCATCCAAAATACGAGCCTTCCATTCAGGACAGACTGGTCTCTGTGTGGATCCCGGCAGTCCAACGTCCTGGGCTCAAACCCAGTCTGTTCAAACTCCCATTGATGAGTCGTGTGACCCTGGGCAGGGCTCCTCATCGCTTTTTGAGTGTGTGTTCTCATCCTGCAACATGCAGGCGGTGATGCTACTTCGTCACTGAACGACTTGACCTCCCTCCTGAGGTGGCTGTGTGGGTGGACCAACCAAGGTAATGTGCCGGCAGCACTTTGTAGACTTCAGTCCTGCAAATATTGAGTTCACAGTCACAGCAGCGCTGGCCCAGGACATCCTCTGTCGTTCCCTTTCAAGGGGCACCTCGAGGCAAACTTCTTTCCGGTTGGATAGTCAGATCGAGGACTCGACAATGTTCTGAAAGGGGCAAAAGGGGGAGAAAGAAGAAAGAGGACCGTGGAGGAGGAGAGGAAAGAATGTGCTCCTCTTTCCTGAGAATGCATTCGAAGATGCAGAGGGAGGGGCCAGATGGTTCCCCTTATTGTAATGGATCTGATGCCCAACCAGAGCCATCGTTGGGGTCGCAGAAGGGGGTCTGGTGACAGACACGTGCACAAGGAGAATGTGCCGTGTCTGCATGGGGCCAGAGGCTGGCACGTGTTAACTGAGGAGGCTGCTTTAGGGATCTCGGAGCGCAGCAAGGGCTGAGCCCTGGACATGCTGCCCAGAGAGCAGCAGCGTGGGGGTAACTGTCTCATTTAAAACAGGAGGGCTATCCCTTGGGTTTGCTACTAGAGGAACCAGTGAGTGGGTAGCGGGAAGGAGGGGCGATTGCTCAGTTTCACGGTGGCTCCCTTCTGTTGCTCTTGGCTGGAGGAGAATTCCGCTTTGCCGGGGGACCAGGGAAGCAGACCCGGGAGTGTCAAAGAGTGAAGGTCAAACCTGCCGCTGAGGACACCCATCAAGAGAAGCGATCGGGTGCTAGCTGACAAAATCACAGGGGAGAATCCTGAGAAGCGCATCACTCACATTTGCACAGCATTTTACCATTTACAAAGCCTATAGATTAACTCACTGTCTTCTAGAACCTCTGATCTGGAGGGAGGACACTTGGACCAGGGTGTCCCAAGCTGGCACCAGTGTCTCCTGGGGAATTTTGTTACCACCCAGGTGCCCAGATTCCATCCAGACTGAAGGGGGGAGGGTCAGAATCTCTGCAGGCAGGAAGCTCTGTGCTCGCACGGGCTTCCCACCAGGAGCTGGGTTTGGGCACAGCTGGTCTCAGCTGCGCCAGCAAGCACGGCCTCCAGGGGGCTCTCTCCCGGCCCCTGCAGTGCCCTCCGGTCTCCAGTCCTTCTCCGCCC